CGACAATTCGATTATAGCTGGTAGTAATTAATTTAATTAATTATCTCTGTAACTTTCGGGAGCTTTCAAATGCGGAACTCTGTAGCGGTAAGACCATGTGATGTATATATTTGGCTTATAAAGTATTCTTGGAAGAGGCCCCGAGCCATGGAGAAGACTGGGCACTGCATATAACATGGGTCATGAAAGGTTTACTGCAGAAGGCTGTGCGTGTGAATTCACGATTGGCAAGGTAGCACTAACAACTCTAAGGCGGTATTGGGATCTTGATTGGGAGGACAGCTGTATGCGGTATTTCCAGAAGTGGTGAGAGAAGTGGTGAACATAGTAAGGGGCTGTAGTAAGAGGATGGCTTTACCAAATATAGAACACCTCTGGCACAAAGAAACAAGGAAAACCGGCTAAAAGAAACTCCAAAAAGCATGGAAGTAAGCGATCTGGTAGTATGAAAATAAAGACAGGCTAGGGAGTAATAGTTGTACAACCTATATGGAAGTCTATAACAAAATATGGCAGAAGTGCAGTTCCCGGGTCACTGGCTTGTGATAGTGATTAAATAAGGTACATAACTCCCGTCCTAAGGATCTAGACTTCTGTAACACCATACTAATAGAGAGTACTATAAAAGGATCAGTAGCCTAATTTGGTGGTGTACAGCGTAAATACCTGGATCGATGTAAAACATCATCTTAGTTTGGCAACCTAACTGTTTGAGATATAGCTAGGCCCATAAAGTAACTCCTCTAGGGACACCAAACTGGAAGCATGAAGAGCACTAACTTGAAGAACACCAATTTGGAAGTAATACAAGTACCGAATTAGGAGTAATGTGATAAGTGATGAGTGATGGAAATTGGTTGGTGGATATTGTACAGTAGTATATAAGCGGGATATATATGATAAAATAGGTTTGGGAACCATCCGGTGATTTAGTAATTGGTCTGGTTGCAGGGCAATTATTAAGAAGGTAAAATTTCATATAGCAAGTCACACATAGGTACTAAGTTAGTAACTGGGTGAGCCAATATCTTATAATATATTAGAGTGTTGTAATTGTACATGTAATATTTGTAACCAAATACCTTAGTATACTAATAAACGGTATTGGCAAGACTGCCGAATTTAAAAAAAAAATAATAATAATTAAATGAAATATAAGACAAGCGAAAGTCTAAGGTCGTCTATATCACATGATCATTATATTATATAGGCGTACTATATACAACATGTTACTAGTATTTCTGTATTTATTTTACAATATAATAAAAAAAATAAAAAAAAGAGTGTGTTAACAAATGCACTTGGCAGAAGCACTACACCGAATAGATACATCTTGTATAATTGCTACACTAATATTAACCTTAGATTAAAAAAAATTAAAAATAAAAAATAAAATACTTAAAGAAAAATTTGAGAATAAATATTAGCAGATATGTCTTGCAAAATATTATATTATTCACGTGAACTATAGTAGCAACAAAGCAAGAAACTAAGCAATCACGCTCCACAAAATATCAATACCATGCTTAGCTTCTTTAAATCTTGAACATCTTAGAGCTTAGTTAATAAATCTTTTTTTTTTTTTAATTATAAAGGTGTAGCACCCATATTTAGACTTTATTTAATACTTAAATGATTGACATATGATAGTACCAATATATATATATATATTATATCAAGTACTAAGACTAGAACATCAGATATACAAACTATTTATCCACGGCTAAAACCCACCAGAGCCGACCATATTCCCACTATACAGCTGACCTGGATTTTATACATTCCTTTCCAACTGCCAATCAGTATTCACATATCTGCCACGGATTTCCTTATGTCAAGAAAATAATCTACATCTGATGTAACACACAATTTTGATAATATTATATATATATATTGTTATTTTTAGTATAAAAAACTCTTTCTATAAGTAAAATTTCATGCTACGCATTTTTTACTTAGAAATAAAGGCCGATTGTCATAGTAAAATTTTGCGTTATTTATGATTTCTTTATTTTTGGCATTTGTTTAGATTTACGTTAAGATCTGCAAGATTTGCAAGATCCTGCAATTTTTATTGGCTCTGAGCCTAATTTTTGTAGATCCTTAGCCCGGGATTTTTTTGACATAAGAGAATCCATTTGCTACATTATCCACAAACCATTTATCTTCAACTCCCAAATCGGTGTGTACCAGGTAGACGCTTATTGCTTCTAGTTTGGTGTGCCTGTTAGAGAGATTTTCTCTCTCAATCCCTACTTAGCATACTTCCAGAAGTTCGTATCTCAAGCGATGCAGCTGCCTCTACCCAAACAGGTAAGTATCTCAAGTAGTGATTTGGGTTGATTAAAAAATCATGGGCCAGGTCTATTCTAAAAAAGCTCGGGTCGGTTGACCAGGCCGAACTTTTTTGCTAATATAAAATTTTCTAATAAAAATTGGCCTTGATATCTATATTAAACATGTAAAAAGTCATCAGATAGTTTCTTGTCAAATTCTAGTATACTAAAGTTATTTGGCTTTATTCTTTTTTGTCTTTAATTGTAATATGTTAGTATTTTATGTTGATAAATTGTCTTTGCACCTAACATGTCAGACATTTCCATTTCCTATACTAGTTGTTTGTTAATTTATTATCTAAATTAGCATTTAATAAATATATATATATATATATTTTAATAATTAGCTAATTTTTAGCCAATTTTTTAGCCAGTATAAGAGAATCAATTCTAGCACTTCTTTTATCAATTGGCCTGGCCCACAAAAATGCAGGCTAAGGGTCAACCTGCCTATCAGCCCGGCCGTTGGGCTGGAGCCAGCCCGTATTACTAATCTCAAGCCTGCATATTGCTATAACTAGCTAGTTTCCTGTGACTTTCAGGACCCAGGTTTTTAACATATTCAATTAGATTTGTGCTAACAACTGTACTTCCCAATATAGTAACAAGGCTGCCCAGACATGTTTTGCAATTGCTTCCAGTAGTCAGTATAGTTGGAGGGCATCATAAGACTCAAAGGTAATAGGTGCATCATTATTTCTTTTTATAGTGATTCTCGGCAGGTGTAGCCTCCGGTTACCACTATATGCGTTTACATCAGCTCTACCTATATTGGTAGTCCTGAGTCCTTTTAACACCAAAGGCTCCCATACGGGTATGACCAGAGCTTGTTAGGTTTATCAACATGTACACGCCTCTATGCTTCAACTTCTTATTGGCCAACAAGTTCTATATGTGCCAGAGGTGTTTCAAATCTGGTAAGGCCAATTCTTTACTACAGGTCCCTCTGTGTTTACTACATTTCTTACTACTTTCCAATTCTGGTTACTGCCCGGTCATCTTCCCAAACAAAATCTCCAATGCCACTTTAGGGATTGTTGGTGCTACTTTGCCAATCGCAGATTTACATGTACAACCTTTGTGTAATAAAATCTTTTGTAACAACTACTGTTATACATAGTGCCAACTACTCCACAATGACCTCCTTCCAGAAATTTCTAATCTAGATCTGTATTCACTTGGACTTCTCATGGCAGATACTTCCAAATATTCATAGATAAATGTACCTACTAGGACTTGAATCTAAAACCCGCTCGTGGAGGATTGGGTGCCTAGACTACTAGACCGTGAAATCCCAACCCTAAGCTTAGTTAATAAATCTGGATTAGAAAAATTATAAAACTATATAACAACATATAGTAAGCTAGAAATAATCTAATATCCAGAAGCATAATAACAACAAAGCCTGCCAAGCAAGCTATCTATTTATGAAAGAACCTTTATGCAAAGAACGAACTTATAAATATCCATAAACTTATTATACACAATTACCAGACCAATAACTGCTTCAATACTTAGCTAAACTATAGTGCAAACAAATTATTCAATTACAGTAGACAATAGAATTATAGCAAAAGCAAACAACTATTATTCCCAAAATTAAATATGATCTATTCTCAAGAAGTATCTTGTTAATTAATTACCCATATATATCACATGCATAGAAATTGTATTCACCCTTATCACACTAGGGATAGTAAATGACCAGGTTATTTGCCTATTTTACAAATAATCTAGAATAATCTTACATCAGAAAAAATTTTTTAGTGCTGTTCTGCGCAGATTTGCAAAAAAATTAAATAATATATTAAATGAAAATCTGTGCAAAACTTCAGACCCACCAGCTATAGCTAAAGAAACTAAATACAGTTCTGCGCAAAATTTCAAAATATAAGAAATTTTGCAGTTTTTTTGCAAAAAATTATGCAAAAATCTGCATTTTCGCAGGTTCTTGCAGATTTGCACTTATTTAATTTTCCTGATACAGAATAACTAGTCATTATGGTCATTTAAATTTCAGGTCATTTAAAAATGACTAATGACCAAATAGCCCAGATTATTTGTAAATAACCTGAGTCATTTGTAAGTTATTTGCAAATACTAGGTTATTTAAGATTTGTGCATAATTGGATAATAGTGTATATCATATAAATTAGTTGGTTAATACATGCAGAGCTTATTTCGATGTATAACTTGTAATTTCATATAGTCTAAAATAGTTGTATAAAAGGTAGAATCATGATAAATATCGATTAGTTTTTTCTCTAACAAAAACAATTAATAAAAACACACTTGTTACATAAAAGTATAGATTATGAATATTAATAGAGGTCTGCTAAAGTGAGATAACTATTAAATCAATAATCTAGGGGTCGTGCAGATCAATTGATCATCTATCAATTGCAGCCAATCACCACACCCCATGCCAATATATTAATTTTTTAAAAAAAATATTTTTTCTTCTTTTATTGAGGCATCAAACTTTATATATTTAAAATTCTGCATTTACTAGCTTGAAGTTCTCTGTGAGAACACTATTTGTAAAGAAAAACCTTGCAATAAGCTAGTAGTTATAATAATAATAATAATAATAATAATAAGTAGAGTCTAACTTATAAATTATTACAGCAATGACTTTGATTAGAAAAAAAGTATTTGTAGCAAATGACCCAAAAAGCAAAGTTTCAGCTAAATCCTGCAGCAAATGAGCAGTTTGCAGCTATTAAAAAGGACCTGCAACGAATAGTGAACAGACAACTAAAAAAAAAATTATATGATCACTGCCACGGCTATATCAACTATCAGAGAATGCTTTTTTTAATATAAATGTTAATAGGCAGTGGGTTCTTGTTAATAATACATAGACAAAATTTAATGGATACAATTTGGATAACAGTAATGAATTAATTTTCATTTGTAGACTTTCAAACCTCAAGAATCAAGTAGAAAAAAGTTTTTCTCTTGAAAAGCTTCACATAATCTGAAAAAGACTTGCTATTGATTGTGAAGCTAGAATTAAAATAATATAGTTAGCGGTCTCAAATATAGTTAGAATTGAAAGAGTTAATATAAGGTTTTTTTTTAAAAAAAATATAATATAGTAATTTTAATAATTAAAAAATTGAATAAATAAATATTCTTTTTTTTTTTTTTAATAATTTGGCAGTTGTGCCTTAGCTTTATTAGGCTTTGTACAATTCCTCTAGAATATATAAAATTTTACAACTAGGCATTTTAGAAGATAAGTAATAAACTCTAAACTTGTCAGCAAATAGCATATAAGAACTATCTCTAAATGACAAGTGCCAAAGCCCACATTATTACCTAAATTACAAATTAAGACTAACTCAGTTACCAACTTGGCACCTATGTTCGACCTGCTATAGCAAGATTTCCCTTCTTTCGAACTCCTCCTGCAATTGGATATGACCCAGCTCTTAATAGTGGACCTTGCCGCCCATCATGACTATCTCTTCCTTCTTTCAGACTTCTTCCACCTAAGCCCAACAACATAATTAAAACCTTTACTCATACATAAAAGTTAAAAAAATAAAGCCATATTTATGAAAGATATAAATATTTTAGAAAAAAAAACATCTCACGGTGGAAAAAAAAACTTTTCAACAACTTCTAAAAAAGTCTAACATAAATAAACAAAGATGAAAAAAGCGAAAAAAAAGAAAGGTAGTCATGACACACTATTATAGCCCGTGCTAGGCATAAGGATAAAAATTATATAATAATTGCAACTAATTACTATATCTTGATTGTAAACCTTCGATTTAGCTTTGGGACTTGTTCCGGGCACTGACTCGACTCGGGTATCTCCTAAATGGAGGTATAGATCTCTTTTCCATACCATAGAACTGTATTCGCAAAACAACAAAACACGTGGTTGCCTTCTACTGAGTTCGTTCTGATTTGGTAGGTGTAAACAATGCTGATCTTTTGGAGGGGTAAGCCAAAAAGCCCACTTTTTGTCAAAAATTTTGGTAAGAACAGCAAAAGATGAAAATGAAAGAGAGACCTCTTGATACCACTTAAAAGAGAATGAGTTACTAAAAACAACAAAGACAGCCTTCCTCCAGGCAGTGCACTATTCGAATTTTGTTGGTGAGTGATAAACTCTGAACTTGTCGGCAGGTAGTGTATGAGAACTACCTCTAAACGACAAGTACCGGGTTTGCAGTAAGTAATAAACTCTAAAACTGTCAGCAGGTAGCATATGAGAACTTTCTCTAAATGACAGTTGCTGTCTTATAGCTCCTTTTTTCTTTAACTTATAAGCTGAGAGATCAGTTTTTACTGTTTTTATTGAGTAGTTTTTTCAAAAAAATTTGGACCAAGTAATTATCAGAAAGAGTTTTAATAAATAAATATTCAGATTCATAAATATTTATTTATTGTTTAATTTTTCTTTAATTCAGGTTAATTTTTACAATTTAATTTTATTTGTTTATGTTGTTTTAGTGTGTAAGCATAAAGAATATTTATTAATCAAGCTGTTTAAATTAAGCTATTCAGATTTATAAATATAATTATTTAATTTTCTTTAATTCACATTAATTTAAGATGTGTAAATATGAAGAAATTTATGAATTTAGGTTTTATTTTATTCGTGTTGATTTAGTAAAGAATATTTATTAATCCAGCTCTTTAAAATAAGCTATTCAGATTTATGAATATTTATTTATTTATTTTCTTTTAATTTAGATTAATTTGTTATGCAAATACAAGCAAATTGTTTATGTTGATTTGGTATATAAGTATAAAGAATATTTATTAATCTATTTAAAATCAGCTATTCAGATTCATGAGATATTTATTGCTTAATTTCCTTTAATTCAGTGTATAAATACAAAGAAATTAATTAATCTACGTTTAGGATATTTACTATTTAATTTAATTTTGTTTATATTGATTTAGTGTGTAAGTGTAAAAATTAATTTGACATTTTAAAATAAGTTATTCAGGTTTGTAAATATTTATTATTTAATTCATTAATTTGATGTATAAATATGAAGAAAATGAGGAGATTTATTAAATTTAAAAGTTAAAATCAGCTATTTAGATTAATGAATAATTTATATTTAATTTCTTTAAAATTGAATTAGTGCATAGTGAAAAATACAAAAAAAATTAAGCTTGTGAATAGTTACTATTTATTTATTGTATTATTTGTGTATAAGTATAAAGAAAATTTACTAATCTCTAAGTGTTTAAAACCCTTAATATCGTAGGTTTTATTAAAAAATCTTTGGGTGAATAAAAAAAAAAGAATTACAACCCAACCTTTATAGAATGAATATGAATGTCTTGTGCTATCTCTTCCAATTTTCATCTCCAATAATGAATAAATGCTTTGTGCTTATCCTTTTAACTTATTTCATTTTAAAACAATATCCAACATATAGTTTTTTTTCTTTTTTTTTTGTTTAATTAATTACTGGTTTTAATATTTTTTCCAAATTTCCAATGAATTATAATGCCTTGTTTATGTTTTTCTTTGCCAATCTATAGTAGTAGTCTCTGGTTCTTTCAAATAATTTATTCATTTTTGATCAACTTTTTTTGGCTGCTTTATCAGCTGCAGGTGTCTAAACAACAGATATTTCTGCAATACCACATGTTTGATATACCTCCAAGCCACTTCTTCAAATGTTCTTTGAAAGTTTTTTTAAGCTTTCGGTGTTAAAATATTGGTACAACAAAGTTGTTTATGGAAAATATAGTGACATAGTAACATATACCAATTAAAGAATCTGTATAAGAATTCTGCACTTACAAGGTTTGGTAAGCACTTTTCTTCTTTTAGTCTTTTTGCAATAGTATGCACTTCTTTTGCAACAAGACTTTAAAGAAGAAAAAGAAATTTATGGATTTCATTAAGAACTTTTGATCTAACATTGGCAAGAGAAATTCTTTTAGTATGAAATTCAATTGCAGTTTTTTTTGCTGCTATTATTTTTTTGTTATCAAGTTCTAAAAGAATTTGACATGTTTCTAAATGATAAATAAATACTATCAAAAAAAAAAAAATTTTGCTTAGTTTTATTATTCATCACATGATAATATTGTAACCAATCAAACTTGCATGCTAAAAGAAAATAATTTAATATTTTTAAATCTTTAAAAATAAAAATGCTATATCCTCGAAAATTACTTGGTAAATTAATGTCTAAGTTGTACCTAGAATATTGTGCTATTTTTTCTAAGATGTGTATTCTCTGATTAATCCAAATTATTAAATTGAAGATTCAAAGAAATTGGCAAAGTGTTACTACAAAGTACACTTGCTAACGCTTTTCCTTCTCTTGATTCAAGATCATTGCTAATAAGATTTGAGTCTTACAATGTAACATTATTGGAAAGTTCATCTGCTAATGTTTTTTTTCCAAATTGTCCAAGTTCATTAAACTAAAATCTAGTAAAGTCTATATATTCTTGCAAAGTGCTATTATTAACTAAAATTTTCAAACTCACATAATCCAGAGTTGAAGTGACCTTTTGATTTCAGGACTATGCTAGCTATTTCTAAATACTAAGTTCTAATGCTATGAAAAATTTTGCCTCGCTTAAAAAATTCATATGTATCTTTTTATTCTTAAGGATACTGCTGTCCTATACTGAAGTTGTTATATTTCAAGTGGATTTACAAGTAAGCTTAAATTACCTTGATAACTTAAAAAAATTTCATTATTTTAAGCTAATATTTAATAATATGGTGTTAACCCAAAGTTTTATCAGAAATAATTTGGTTTAAAGTGTTGAGAATTACCTTTGTTCAGAGTGATTGGCAGAATCGCTATTTCGACATTTTTTGTAAAGTTCAATATATTGAAATAGTGTATCTTCTATAGGTTCTTCTCTATTTCTTTGAAAACATGAACAACAAGCATAAGTATAGTGGTATAATTGTAATCTATACAGATTACAATTATACCACTTAATTCAGACTATAACCATCCTATTGACGATTGGATTGCGTGTGTGTCATCATTCGAGTGACGAATGATTCGCGCTTGCATCGTCAGAGATATATTAGTATTTGCTCTATCATTCGAGTGACGAATGATTCGCGCTTGCATTGTTATTCGAGTGACGAATGATTCGCGCTTGTGTTGTCAGAGATATATTAGTATTCGCTCTATCATTCGAGTGACGAACAATTCATGCTTGCATCGTCATTCAAGTGATGCCGAATTTGAGTTCACGTCGTTATTCGAGTGGTATTCCCCGATTTAGGTTATGCTTGAGTGATGATTAGTTTATGAATTCATCATCATGTATCTTTTTTCTAAGGCTAGCTATTTTGTGTTCTTTTTAGGAGACCGAACTCGATAGCATTTATTGTATACTAAATAGGGTCAGAGGAGGCAAAAAAAAGTGATCGTGTAGTTGCTATCAGGACATGCTATATACATGCTATCAAATATGTATGCAACCTATGTCATGTAATTGCTATTGAGTATGCTATCAGTACATGCTATCTGGTCATGCTATACACATGCTATCATATTTGATATCATTTACTTTGTCCCTAGTTGGCCCTAGTAGCGAGATATATGTTTACTTACCTTGACCCATTAAGTTATATCTCACGATTGATATTCCAGAATGTGGTTAAATAGATCTGCTCGCGTTCTAATAAAAAACCCATCCTGGTTTCGTCCTAGTAAAAAAAAAGTTGTTAGGACAGATTCGGTATAGAAGAAAGAGTTTTTTTTTTGATTTATCTTGTTCTTTTATACTTTTTATATTCTGTCCTAGTTGTCCTAGTAAAAAGTAATAATTTAGGAAAAATAAAATTTATCTACTCATGATACATTTATACTATACATAATGATATATATGGTTATATACATATAATATATACATGCTATATACATATTATATACTATGTATACCTGTAGATAAAAAAAGAAAAAAAAAGTAAGAAGATCAAAATTTTACTAGGACAACTAGGACAACTAGGATGAGTATTCTAAAACTCTTTCGTTCGGCTTGAAATTACTGAGAGATATATTTTTTTCTGTCCTACTTTACGTCCTAGAAAAAAATTCATCCTAGTTGGAACTTCGAAAAATATAGGTATCCTGCATACCACACACACATATATTAATCTTCCTTTACCCCAGATGATGCAGAGCACCGAATCTCTGATTCCCCACCTTGTGCCATCTTCTCCAGCTTTTTCCGCTGATACCGATCTCATCTTCGATATTTATCTGCATGAGTATCACAATAGTTATAACCAGAATAGGTCAACTTACCACATTCTTTACAAGATACACGTGGTGGAGAATCCCAGTGAACTTTACATCCTTCAGGTCTATAGCAACCTCGATTGCAAACTTTTTCAGTCCTAAGAATATAGGAGCAACGATAAAATGCCATATTTATATGATATATGATATAATAATTATTATCTACTGATAACTATTCTTTAGAATTAATTTTCATTTTGAACTTTTTTTTCCGGAATAATATACTAGCAGTAAAAATATATTTACCATAAGTACTCAATATTTCCAGAACGAAGCTCATGCCTGTAAAGGCATTCTTAAGAGCTGTTCCACAATAGAAAACAACGATTATGTGTCAGTAGAGTCAGAAGCATCACCTTCTCGACCAGAGAGCCCAGAAATAGTGGAAGAAAATAACGGGGCCTTCTACCACCGAGGGGGCAAAGCCGAGAGTGTGGCTGAATATATGTATAAAATTCGTGATGATAGTGTAAAGCCAAGACAATTTCTCAGTACAGATACTGAAGATGGAATAGAAGCTATATTTAGTAAACGGCAAGGACATTCATTACATGAATTTATTGATAGTGATGACCCACTTCGGCCTTTTATAGATTTTGATTTATCTAAAGAAAAATTTGATAAAATTAAACCCAAGCTTAAGCTTACAGCTAAAGAAATACGAGATTTACTTTATCGTGCCTTTAAAGAAGTGTGCCTAGAAATATATCCAAATTGGAATTGCAAAACATTAACTATTGCCAGTAGTAGTGACGAGAAAAAAATATCTCTCCATATATCAACTTTTGGTCTCCGACTCAAAAATATTGCTAAAGTTGTAGTATTTACTGAGCTTGTTCGCAAAAAGCTTCCAATAGATTTACAAGAAAAAGATATTGTTAATAATATTGCAAATAAATGTTCATTCTCTTTGCGAATACTCGGAACTCCAAAATTTATTAAAGATACTAATGAACATGTCCGAGTGAAGAAAGCAATTTTCCCAAAGGATAGCTCTGTCTTTGATTTTATACTTCGCCCACCTAATGACGAGGCGCCAATTATAAATAGTCCTATCTTGGATATTTTGAAAGAAAAAACATCAATTGAAAAAAGGAAAGCACCAGAAAAAAATAAAATCGATGCTGGGACAATCGGATCTGAAGTAGAATATATAGAAAAATTACTTGAGGAGTATAAAATTGAAGGTTTTGAAGTTTTATATTCTTCACTGACACTCCCAAATGTATTTCTCCTAAATCGCATAGCAGAATCTCAATGCCCACTCTGTAATCGGGAGCACACTAGTGATAACGCATATGTAATCCGAAATAAGAAAACTTATTATTATTACTGCCATCGAGTAGATCAAGATACGGCAACAGGTACAAGGAAACCATCATTAAAACTTTCTTTAAAAATATCGATCTTGGAACGGGAAAACAGTCTTCCCCCCCAGAAAAAATAGAACGACCCAGAATCTCAGATCCAAATAACCACTTTGTATGGGGTGATTTAATTCGTATATGCACTTCTAAGAAAAATTTTACTCAGAATGAAGTATATAATGCAATCCAGGCTACACTTGCTTGTGTAGTAAAAGATAAACGAACATGGATTCTTAAACACAGAAAACCGGATGGTAGATTATACTTTGGTATGGCACCTACTCTAGATTTCGGTAAAATAACTATTAATATAGTAGAACTTGGAGGAGAACTAATAAAATTGATCTCTTTGATAGATCATATATATGACAGCAAGGCAATTATTTATGATGATACCGATTTCTTACCATATCTACCTAATATCGAACAACCAAAAAACGAATTCTTTAATCTTTTTTTAGGATTCAAGGCTAAACCAGCACCTCGAATTAATTACGATCTTGTGAACCCGATTATATGGCATATAGAAAATATCTGGTGTGATGGGAGTAAAGTTCTTTCTACATACATTTTCAAATGGTTAGCATTTTTAGTTCAGTATCCAGCAATAATTCCGGGTACAATTCTTGTTTTGCGTTTACCGCCACGATGTGGGAAAAATATTATTACTGATTTTATTCGAAAAAGTTTATTTGGTCCAGAGCTTGTATATTCAACGTCCGATTTAGGCAAAATTTTGGAAAAATTCAACAGTAGTATTCAAGGACGTAAACTTATAATTATGAATGAAGTGGGAATGTTAAGTGAAGAATGGCATAAGTCAAACGATCACTTAAAATCTCTAATTACAGAAGATTACGTCTCAATTGAGTGTAAAGGTCTCGAAAATCAAGAATGTGGCCATTTTCCTGGATTTATAGTATTAAGTAATCATGATGCCCCAATTCGTGTTGAGCAAGGAGATGGTCATATTGTATGTTTAGATGTTTCACCTCGATGTAAAGGTAATTTTAAATATTTTGGTCAGTTGGGAAAAATTCTCAACCATCCCGATACACCTGGATCTTTTATAAGCTATTTACTTAATCAAGACCTTTCAAATTGGAATCCACAAGAAAATATTCCTACTACTAAAATGAAAACAGAGACAATGCGTGAGCATCTCCCAAATCCCATCCGATTCATAATTGATCATATTTCGGTATGGTCGGAAGATCAAATTGAAAATCCAGGTTGTGCTATGTTATATTAGGAGTATCGTACATGGTGTGAAGCTAATGGTGAAAAGCCATTCAGTAATAATAATTTTGGGAAAAAAATCCTACAGGTTAACATTGAACGAAAATGTGCTGGTGGTGGAAAAAGAGAATAGCAGTATATCCTTAATCATTCTAAAATTGTAGCTAAGTTACGTGAATCGGTAGGTGATATCGAGGAATTTTCTGACACACCTCAAGCTGAGGCATCCTCCAACGCATCTACAAATATCTCTGTATTTAACGTACCTGAAATTGTAAATCCTCAACCAGCAAAAAATATAGCTGGGTCGTCGACCACTGATTATATCGAAAAAGGTAAGAATGTATCACCTGCTTCGTCCATTACTAACATGACCCAGGATCTCTTCGATTCTATAACAAATGAAAGTTCAGTTGCTTTGTCATCAGTGTCTACTGATATATCTCTGCCCCCCGAGATCATACACGCAGAACCTGTGGACTATAAATCCAAACCAGTTTCTGAGATCATTAAACCAGCGAATGATAAAGTTGAACCCGAGATTTCTCCTGACTTACTTGCAAACGACGAACTAAAAAACAGCAATGAAGAATCCAACACCCAATCGAAAACATACCCACTTGGATATATACCTCGAGAAGAAAGGGAGGCTCGCCTCCGTCAAAAAGCTATTGAGCTTGGTGAAGATCCTGACAAATTCGTTACCATTACTGAAAAAGATAAGCTCGATTCTTTAGCATTATGTGATAGAATGCAGACTGATGCAAGAATGTGTGGTTATGCAAAGGAGGTCGAAGAAAATCCTAGTGAATATATGAATATGACAGTGCGAGAAAGATTAATAAGTGAAGAAATAATCCGCCGTTCTCTCGAGGAAGATGGAATCACCTCATCATGGTTGGATACTGATGAGGAATGGAAAAAAATAATTAACATACTCCAGGAAAATGGTATGTTATGGTAAATTACTCGATCAGTAAGGACTGAATAGGTAGGTAAATTTCGCAGGTAGGAGCTTTGATATAGGGAAATTTTTGCTCCTATATATGGGTAATATAAAATTTTAAAATTAAAATATAATGAAAACTCTGTTCTTTATACCAATATACTGGTTTTTGTGATGCCTAAAAACAATATTTGGTTAATTTTTCCAAAACCTCTTTAAGTAATGCTATATCCTCTTTGATCTCATTGATATTTTTAGTAATTTTATTACGTAGAGCTATAGATTCCAAGACTTTATTTCGGGGGAATGGCACTTCGTGCCTGATCGAACTCGTGTCCATTTTCTGATAGAATTACAATAACCATGTCCCATTCAATTTTTGGTATAGCAATACTAATCCACGGGTAATTAATTTTGATTTGAAAAAATATATATCATAGTTATAGTTCGCGCAAATATCCCAATCGACAATGTCAAAAGTTGCAACAAATTTCGTAAATCAGTATAACTTAACCCCCCAAATGAGCATAGCCGAACTTAGCAATTATGCTGAAGAATTGGTTAAACATTTGAAAGATGCGAAGGCCCGTGATCATGCGCGAAATCGGATCCAGAAATTAGGATTTAGTAAAGATTAAACATATGCTTTAATTCCTATCCAAACTTCTGGAAGACGCGTTACAGGTCGAGATCCGGTTAAGAAACTTGCTTTGTATATTAAGGAGAATGAAACCAATCTCGAACCCGAACGGATAAGCAAATTGGCCCATAATTTGGCAAAAACGGGACCCACTGTTATAGCTCAATCTTCTCTTCTTAAATTGCTCTAAAAAAAATTACGCCAACTCAATGCCGATTACATTACATTAGAAGCTATATATGATCCAGACATTACTCGAAGATCAAATAAAGAACAAGCGATAAATCAGGAGCTCCGTGAAGACGAGGAATACGATTGTCCTGAATTCTTTTACTTGGAAAATGTCCAGAAAAGACTTAAGGATTGTAACATTACCAATTCCCCTACAATGCAAAATTTAATGGATATAATGATAATGTTATCTATAAGGTCGGCGGATGTTGCAAATCTTTGTGTTGATTACTATAAACCATCTAACACTGATTGGTACGATCCTAAATATTCTTGGTACTGCACTGGATATGCAAAAAATAAAAAAGACGAACCTAGACCATTAGTATCTATGGAGAAAGATCCACTACTGGCTAGAGAATTACTTATTTGGATCCAGAAAGCAATTCCTAACGAATTCCCATTTTTAATAAGAGATAAAGATGGTGATGTAAATGTTCACCCAATTAACAATTTTCTAGCAATTTATGGAATAAGCTCATCGTATTTGAGAAAAATAGGATCTGACCATGCTATTATAATCCATGAAGGTAAGACTCGCTCTAAATGTAACCGTCTTTGTAAGTTGGCATTAAGATACAAAATAAATCGAGAAGCATCAGATCATTACAGTGTGATGAATAACAGACTGAATACTCCAGCACCTAAACAAGAAAATAGTGAGGTCGAGGATATCATCGATTTATACGGAGAAATTTCTGATGATGATAACTAATTACGCTTCTTTACTTTTACCACATCTACAGAAAATCTTCATCATCATTAGACGATTCAGAGCTCAACCCGGACCCAGATGAAGGCTAAATTTTTTATGTGTCTTTAGACACTAGCTCCGCTATTCACGATTTCCAGTGAAGATTGAGCGATCCTCTCATACTAATTAATTCGTGAATGAACGGATCGCCAAATCCGAAATTACTAATTTTTGATTGTAGTGTTTTGCGCCTAGATATGTTGATCTGTAAAAATTGCTAGATGCGGAGCATCCTCATTTCATGAAACATTATAAAACATGCATTATTTGCTTGAAATATAGCAACATAACCAAAAAATTGTAAGTATGAATATTACATGCCT